TTGTTCAATAAACTTTAACTATTTCTATATACTTTATAAGACCGAAGAGAAGACAAGGCTAATCTAAAAATACATGAGAAATRTTTACCTCTGGCTCTCGCCTCTCTTTCCCGTTCCTCCACGGCTCCACCGGTATATAAACTTTAAATCTTTGTAACTTGTGATTACTATAAACCAATTGTCGGTTGTGTCCAGTATTAGATATATAATTTATGTCGATCGGAAAGAAGTCAAAATTCAATTTTATTAATTGAGTTATCTATAACAAATCTGAAATCATTCGCCAAAATTATTTTTATTTTTTTTATACTATACCTAAGATCATTAGTTTATTTTTTTTTTTAAATAAATAATTAATGTACGATTATTTATTGAAATATCATTCTATTATCTTAAGCCCTAATAATATTTATATTATAAATGAGTATTATCAATATAGGTATTGATTGTTTTATTTTAGATGCTGAGTGTAGTGATGAATGTATTGTACCTATTTGATATCATTTATAATTATGTGTGCGTGTTTTCTGTCATCAACATTTAGGGAATCTAGTAAAAATTCGAAATTTACACCATACGTTTATTGTATCAATTCCTGTATTTAATAAAAKTCTCAAAACATTTCAACAATTTTTAAGTTACTTATAAACATTTGAAATTTTCCGTTTTTCAGTTTTTTGTTCTATAAAAATCAATTAAATTATATTCATTGGGTCGAAAAACTTGAAAATTTAATACAAGGTTCCCCATTCCAAAAAAATCTAAAAACTATTATATACAAATACAGTTTTTTTAATAGTTATTTTAAATTCAAATTTGGATGAAATTAGGTATATACTAATAATAATAAAAAATAATAATTTTAGTTAGATATATTRTTGTAATTTAAAAATGTTATTCGTGGGTACTTAACACTTCTAGAGTATACTTTATATTATAATTTTTGTAGTTTATGTCGTTAATGACTTATATTAATACTTAATAATAAATTGTATATACCTACTATGGTAGTATGGTCTATGAATGACTGAGTGAGTCGGGTGCATAATAAATCTGATTTGATTAATTTTGAGTTTATTTTATAGGTAGGTTACCTACATTTTTTTTTTTAAATAATAGCAACATAATTAATACACTATAAAACTAAATATCCCTTCCGTATCGTTAGCGGGCTGGATATGKGCCGCAAGCGCGTTATAAATTAACATTTCAAATTATTTAATTAGCTTCACTAATAGATTTAAATCAAGCTGTTGTGCTGTTGACATGTTTTTGGTACTATAAAGTATAAAGACTAGAAGATACCTAGTTAATGCCTTTTTTTTTATGTTAAATCACTACATGGAGGCCGTACTGTTTTCACATTGCTTAGCCCCCATGCAGCATCGTTTATTTACAGAAAGATAAATATATACACATAGGAGTAGTAATAACAGTTTGGAGATACCCCTTCCCCAGCTCTCTGGTGTAGTGGTGTGTATGCGAATATCTCTATCCTGTTATGACTTTACAGATCTAGCAACTTTGGATAGGGATAAGCGGGGTTGGCCCGCTGTATCCCCATACAACTATTTATATACATAGTATACAGGGTGATTTTTTAAGCATGCTCGCCCCATTTTTATGCTT